GCAGAAGCAGCGCGAGGGCGAGGCCTGAAAACCGGAGCCAGAGCGGCGGCGTCTCCCCGCCTGGGCCCACCTGGGCAGCCCCTGAGTTCGGGGTCTTCAGCGGCATTTCCGGGTGTTGGACCCCTGCCGTGAGGGTAGGACCCAGATGCAGAGGGACCCCACCAGCCCTGGGGAGGGGTTACCGAGTGGGAGCAGTGTCATCGTAGGGACCACACTCCGAGAACGTCTGTAGGGACCCACGCTCCCTGCTGGCACCACCGCCAGGGCCTCTGCTCAGACTGGCTGCCTGTGCCCCGAACCCTGACCCGTCCCCCGGGAGCCGGGCTGGGAAGTGCCTGCCGACCTCCCTGGATCCGCATCCTCCAGCCGATGTGTTTGCTTTTTCAGCCTGAAAAGTCAGTCACAGTGAACTCTCACTGACATGGAGGAATCGTCTCCCGAGATGGTGTGGGCGCCGCTGGAGGCCGAGCTCCTCCCCACCCGCCAGCGGGGACAGGTGCCCCTTGTGAACCTGGTACAAGGGCCCAGCGTGGCCACAAGAGCTGGCTTCCCTGTGTTAGATCCTCCCTGAGCTAAGGGTGGGGACACTGGACACTCACCGCAGACCACACACAGTCCCCGCCCGTGGCTCCCTGTCCCCAGCCGGAGGCGGGAGGCGGAGCCTGCATGCCCCGCGTGTTGCGTGTGAGCGGCACTGCACGTGCTTCGCTGCGTTTGACTCGCTACGGCGTTGGCCGGCAGTGTGTTTTACCATCTTCATCTTTCACATCGACTATTCCCGAGCCTCAGACTGTCTGCGTTCCCCTAACCCCATCTCCTCCCTCCTGCCTGCACGTCCTTCGCCTGGGCTGGCCCCAGAACCGCAGGGTAAAATGTGGTCTTCAGTGCGACCAGGCATGGCCCGCGTCTCAAGGACCCGCCATTCCTGTCCCCTCTCCCGACTCCACAGTCACACTCACTATCTCCATGGGCTCCGGACCTGGGCGCGGATCCTTTCTGACGGCACCCCCTTTCTGACCGGGAGGCACCCCCTTTCTGACCGGGAGGCACCCCCTTGTCCCCCTCGCTGGCCTCCTGTCTCTACTGATGAGTAGACCTGTAGCCTCAGGTAGCTGACTTAAGCCCCGGATGTCTCATTGGTAAAATGGGATCATCATAGGCCCTTCTTTCAGGGTGAACTGTGACGAGCAGTGAGTTATTAACACCAAGTGCTGAGGCCGTGGCCTGCACACTCGGTGCCGGGGACGCGCCCCCCATCCTGCCCCTGCGACGCTTCTCTCCTCTGAACACACCCTCTCGCCTCCCCCGTCAGCAGGGCCTTTGTGAGGACTCGGCTCCACATTCCGAAGGCTGTGCTTCCTCCCCGGCCGCAGCGCGTCCTCGATTCTGTGTGAACAGTTTATAGTGACGTCACCCAGCCGAGTGCTTTGTTACTCGGGGGCCTCCCCATGCCTGTGAGCTCCCGAGGCACAGGCCGTTTCTGACTCACGCTTGGTCACAAGCCTCCTAGAATGCCGAGCCCATAGTCTCTAATCCGTATTACAGGTAAACACAGACGCTGGGGCCAACCGCTGGCGCCGCTGCCCGCCTGCTCCCAGGCCCCTCACTCAGCCTCCCACCAGCTCACAGCCGGAACCGCGCCAGAACCGCCACGCCCCGCACCCGCGCCGTCTCTGGTGGATTTCCACCCCCTTGAGAAGGGCCAGCCTCCGGACCACGGCCCTCAGGCCTGGCAGGTCCTGGGCAGGGCCGCGCCGCCTCCCTGTGCTCAGGCTCCAGCTGCCCCCGCCCCCCGTTGAGACAAGGCACCTTCACTTGCTCCCGCCTGTTTGGAATGTTATCTCCTGTGCTCCTCCCACTGCTCCTTCCTGCACATCCGTCCAATCCCGGGCTGACACCGCTCTTCCTCTCCCGGCCGCCTCTCCTAGCCCTCAGCGACAGGAGCCTTGTCATCCAGGTACCGGTCCCCTCACTCGCGGACTTCCTGACGGCCTGGCCCCAGGTCTGGAATGATCCATGTTTCTGACCCGTCCCACTGGGACGGCCCCACCAGGGTGGGCTCTGTCTGCTCGCTCCCCATGCTCCCCGCACCGGCCGCAGCGTCCGCGCTCCGCAGACATGTCTGACAGGAATAGATCATAATTAGGTCATGCTCTGTGTGTGTCAGAGAGGGTGGGATGGCTGCAGTATCATGCTGGCCTCGCCCCTGCCTCCTCAAACAGGCGGGTCCCACAGTGAAAGCTAAGCCAGCGCCTGGGAAGTTTCCGGACATTCTGGAAAGTACGAGCCTAAGCTGCCTGGCAGGGCTCACGGGCTGGAGCATCGTCCCGTACAGCAAAGGTGGTGGGGTCGATGCTTGCTCAGGCGCATACCTAGGTTTGAGCGCATATGGGAGGCAGCTGATGGATGTTTCTCTCTCATATCGATGTCTCTCTCCCTTCCTCTCTCTAAAAATAAATAAATAAACACATACATACATACATATCCTCGGGAGGATTAAAAATGCCTAATTAAGAAGTAATTAAAGAAGTGAAGGTGACACGCGTGGACGGGTGAGCAGAGGGCCTGGTTTCCATGACCCAGCAGTGAATGTGGCGCCACTGTCTCTCCGGGAGAAAGAGCGAGTCCTCGGTGAAGGGAGCGCGCATCATTACTACTGTGTTCTGTCGTCCACCACGTGTAACCCCACAATCACAACCTGCCGGGCCCTTGACGGCAGTGGCTCTGTTAGAAGCTGTGACCGTGGCACGTCGTGTCCCCGACCATTTCTTCCTGCTGCAATGAGGGTGTCAGTCTGGATCATTTAAACCCCATTCGGCCCCTCTGTTGGAGCTTTTCTTTGATTTCTGTCCAAGATGTCAAGTTCTTGCTGGGTCTGCATTCATGTGCCTCAAATCTAATGACTTGAATGGTCACTCTCTTGGGTGACCTTCTCTCCCTTTTAGTTTTTTTTATCCTCACCCGAGCATGTTTATTAGTTCTAGAGAGATGGGGAGGGAAAGAGAAACAAGACAAACACCGATGTAGGAGAGAAACATGGGTTATCTCCCATATGTGCTCGACCAGGAATCAAACCTGCGGCCGTTCAGTATAGAGGATGACACTCCAATCAACGGAGCCACCGGTCAGGGCCCTTCTCTCCCTTTCAATGATCTCTCCTCTTTGATACCCTTTCTGAGCGGCTCGCCCCCCGCTTGGTGATCTCTGCCATTTCGCACTGCACTGCCATCCCTTCTACAAGGCCACCAGAGAAACAAGCTGTTCCATGTGGCCCCTCAAGGAAAAGTTGCCCGTAGCCAATCTAATAAATGTTTTTTACCCCCATGGGAGACTTTTCCTACAATTTAAATGCATCTTCTGGCCCCTCTACCTGCCTACACTTCTCAGCCATCTCCTTGCTGTGCTTGCCGTGGCCGGGCCAGGTGGGGTCCGCGTGGGGTGTTTGCCGGCCGAGGTGGGGTCCGCGTGGGGTGTTTGCCGGCCGAGGTGGGGTCCGCGTGGGGTGTTTGCCGGCCAAGGTGGGGTCTGCGTGGGGTGTTTGCCGGGTGAGGTGGGGTCGGGGTGAGGTGGGGTCCGTGTGGGGTGTTTGCTGGCCGAGGTGGGGTCCGCGTGGGGTGTTTGCTGGGCGAGGTGGGGTCCGCGTGGGGTGTTTGCCGGGTGAGGTGGGGTCCGCGTGGTGGGGACGAGTCTTACCACATTGCCTTCACTTCTCACTGGCACCCATCCCTCTGCACCTTCTTCACCTCATCAGTAGATGTCTCAGCTTTTTTGTTGTTGTTGTCAATCCTCACCTGAGGATATTTTCCCACTGATTTTTAGGGAGAGTAGAGGAGAGAGGGAAAGAGAGAGAAACATTGATGTGAGAGAGACACACTGATCGGTTGCCTCTTGCACGAGCCCTGACCAGGGCCCTTGACCGGAATCTAATCCGGGACCCTCTGGTCCGCAGGCCGGCGCTCTATCCCCTGTGCCAAACCGGCCAGGGCTGTCTCTACTTCTTATACGTAAAGTACGGCTCCTGGGTCTTGTGCCCAGGGGCCTGTCTACTTTCAGAACGCTGCCCGCCGACACAGACACGAACGTCTCCTGCCCTCACAGCTTCGGGGCTGCGACTGTTGGAACAGCAGTCCATCTACTGTGGACAACCCAGGAGTTGCCCAGGCGCTCAGAAGCACGGGGTCAATCGCCTAGGTTCACTCTGAAGACTGTGACATGCAAGGCAGACACGCGCTTTTCTCTGTCTTTCTCACAGTTTGAAATCCGGGTTGGAGACTCAGGGTGCATAGGCAATAGGCTAAGCCATTTGCTCCTCTCCTCCGGTCCGGTCCGGCTGCTGTGTGGCAGCTCTTTGCTGGAGGCAGAGAGGCCGTGGCTGCTGGGCTGAATCCCGCTCTGAGCGGGAGTTCTAGAAGAGGATCCACAGCCAGGCGGAGCAGCTGCGTGGTCTGTCCGCGGGGCCAGCCTCAGCTGCCCTCCCAGCCCTGTGTGGCCGTGGCCACCCTGCGGCCACCCCTGCAGACCCAGCCTGGAAACAGGAAGGTGAGAGCTGGGACCCCGCGGTCCGCTATTTCTAATCCAAAAAGACAGAAGGTGAGTCAGCCCCAGCTAAACCCAGTCCTGCGGGGGCTCTCCTTGTTGGGCAAGTGCCCTTGGCGTTGTTTTTACAGAGAAATGAGTGAACCCCATGGTTTGCAGCAACACAGAGGTGCCCTCTCCGCTCTTCTGGAAATTCAAAGCCTCCGACGTGGGAAGAGACAGGAAGGAACCTGTTTGCTGTGCGTCTGCTTTGCAAAGGTTTTCCTGCGCTTCGCCCTGCGCGGTGGAAGCCGCCGCATCCCGCCTCCTAAAGTCTGCGGAGGCTGCAGAGGCCCCAGCGGGGGTGTCACAGCAACGCTGATTGGCTGCAGAGGCGTTGTTACAGCGCCGCTGATTGGCTGCCCCGCGGTGGCTGGGCTTTAAATGAGACCGGCAGGCGGAGGGAGCCGGGATCTGAAGCATCTGCAGGCAGACAAGGCAGAGCGCTTGGCTCCCAGCTCCTCCCGTCTCCTCCTGCCGCGAACGCCAACCCGCAGCAAAGATGTGCAAAGGTCTGGCGGGGCTGCCCGCTTCCTGCCTGCGGAGGTAAGACGCCTTCAGCCCGCCCTGCCACATGTGGCGGTTGCACAGCTGCTGTGGACCCCGCTCTGTGGGTTAGGATCCCCGTGGCCAGTGGGGCTCAGCACCCGCCTTCCTCCGCGAGGAGCTAGAGACGGTGCCCGAGGAAGTGTGTGCTCCCGGATCCGGGCACCTCTGTGCGCTGTGACTGGCCTTGGTCTGAGGACCGTCGGAACCTCGGCCAGGCCAGCTCGCAGGGAGCAGGGCGGCCAGGGTTGGACGGCCCGCTGGGCTGCTGTGTCTCAGCTGTGATGGGTGCTGAGCGTCGCGGGGCTCGCAGACTCGGGCCGGGGCTCTAGGTCCTGTGTAGGGGAAGACACCCCAGGGTGCGCTGTGGCACCTGCTGGGAAGGCTCTGTGCTGCTGTGTGGGCTGAGGGTCCCTCCCCGCCTGTGTTCCATGAGCAGATGCTACGGTGACTGCAGCTCCAGACCACACCCCCTGGGCCCGGTCACAGCAGGGCTCAGGCTCAGGCTCAGGTTCTGGCTCAGGGCTCTGTGGAAGGTCTCACCCTGCAAACACTGCTTTATCATGTGCTGTGTCTTTAAAAGAGTCAGTGAACGCTTCCAGGGAATGCTTCCCAGCTGAATGAAATGAACCCCGTATTCCATGAGCTAATCTCACCGCGAAGGGCAGGAAGCTGTCCGTAGACAGATCACCCTCTTCTCATCTCCCTGCAAATGGCAATCACCTTCAGTTCAAGTTGGGAATCTCCCAGAAGGCACCGTGTTCTGTGCCTCCCGGGCACGGACTTTCCGGGCCGGCCACTCAGGAGGAAGGAGATTCCCTGCTCATGGGCTCCGGGGGCTTTGACGGGAAGCAGGAGGGTCTGGCAGAAGGTGAGATAGTGATCCCCCAGCGATGCCTGACCCCAATGGAGCAAGACTCCAAGCTTCACTAACTCAGGAAACTGTGCAAAGCAGGGGGGTGGGTGGCAGGTGTGCTCGCGGAGGAAAGACTACCCGGTAGGAGGGGGTAAACCCCAGCCGGAGGGTGAGCTGCTGGTCTGTCCTCTCCGGGAGCTGCAGACCAGCGAGTCCAGCACTTCATTCCAGCTCTGTGCCTGGGCTCAAGGTCACATGGGGGTGTGTGTGTGTGGGGGGGGGGAGGGTGCGGGGGGGTGCGGGCAGAGCAGATGCAGGTGTCCTGGCTCCAGGGAGCCATGGAGCCCGCATGGTTTTTATCCTCGTGTGGCATGTGCTGTAGGTCAGACATGGGCCACCTCTGCATGGGGGGACGGTGTGGGGATCGGTACCCGTCAGAGCTCAGCAGGCTGTTCTGGCGAATGCTGTCCACTGATAGGGTCCCTTGGCCTCAGTCCCACAGCCTCCTCCACGCCCTCTTCTGTCATTACAGAGGAGCCTGACCGGGGCCAGGTGGGGAGGCAGCGGAGGGAACAGTCCTGTGCGGCAGGGAGGACACTGCTAGGGGCAGCCCCAGAACAGCGAGAGTCCCGTTTCCTGGGGAAACGCACCTGGACATGCCCCTGACAGCACGGTCGACCGTGAGATGCAGCTTATCACCCACGGCTCCGCTTTCCTCCCTGATAGCCATGCACTTCTTTTCAAATGACACTTCTCTTATAAAGCGATTTCTGGGCTCTTATAATGAAGGAGATCCAAGCAAAGGAATAATCTATGTAATAAAAGCCTAAGCAACGGTTACAGCGGAACAACCAGAACGATCGGTCGCTATGATGCGAACTGACCACCAGGGGGCAGACGCTCAATGCAGGACCTGCCCCCTGGTGGTCAGTGTGCTCCCACAGGGGGAGTACCGCTCAGCCAGAGCCAGGCTCACAGCTGGCGAGCGCAGCGGCGGTGGTGGGAGCCTCTCCTGCCTCTGTGGCAGCAGTAAGGAGCAGTGAGCTGAGCAGTAAGGAGCAGTGAGCAGGTGGGCGGTAGGGAGCAAGGAGTCCTGGACTGCGAGAGTGATGTCCGCCTGCCGGCTTAGGCGGGTTCAAGCTGGCAGGTCGACATCCCCCGAGGGGTCCTGGACTATGAGAGGGTGCAGGCCACACTGAGGGACCCTCCTTCCCAGTGCACAAGTTTCTTGCACCGGGCCTCTAGTTAAAGAATAAGGTTGAGCTGGAAGGTCCTTGTCTCTGAGTCCTGTTCCTGTGACTCTCGCTTGCTTCTCTGGGTTCTTTTGAAGCCCCCAGTGCCCTTTAGGGTGTAAATGTCCCTGCAGTGCAGAGAGTACAAAGGAAAGCAGTGCAGCTGAGGAGCTGGGGCTCACTGTCCAGCCCTTCTGCCAACTGCACACCTGGTGCAGGTGTAGGGTGCAGGGTGCAGGCATAGGGTGCAGGGTGCAGGCACAGGGTGCAGGGTGCGGGCACAGGGTGCAGGGTGCAGGCATAGGGTACAGGGTGCAGGCATAGGGTGCAGGGCGCAGGCACAGGGTGCAGGCCACAGGGCGCAGGGTGCAGGCCACAGGGCGCAGGCCCACCTCCCTGGCCTGGAATCACAGGCCACCTTCCCCAGTGCCTGTGCATCCTGGGCCAGCAGCCAGCGGTGGCAATAGCAACTTCTGTCCAGGAGGTGGCACCACAGGAAGGGACCCAGTCAGCCCCTGCAGCTTCCCAGTTCCTAATCTCCAAGATCGGCATGTTTTCAATAGGCTTCTGTTGAAGGTCACACCTTCTGTTGAAGGTCACACCTTGTGCTGTTGGTGGAAATGACAGGCTCCAGGAGAGGCTGCTGCTGGCGGAGGGTCAGCCTCCCAGCACCTGGGAAGGGCGCTGCTCTCTGGGCTCTGTCCTGGGTCCCAGGCAGGGTCATGGGGACTCCTTGTCCTGGGAGCTTGCGCACCTCCAGCTCCCTAAGTGCGACGGGCTCTCGCAGCCGGGCGTCTTTTAACGAGAGCCCAGGACCACTCTGTGTCCCCTTCTGTGCAGCGCCAAGGACATGAAGCACCGGCTGGGGGTGCTGCTGCACAAGTCGGATTCCGGTGAGCACGGCTCCGCCCACAGCAGGAGAGACAAGCTGGTGGTCTGTCCCAGGTAATAAAGGTAGGGGAGGGTTGCGGGGGGAGGGGGAGGACCATGGGTGGAGGGCTGCGGGGGGAGGAGGAGGGCCGCGAGGAGGGAGGAGGGCCTCGGGGGGGAGTCGTCTTCGGACAGGGTATGGTAGAGCCAGGGAAGCCAGGGCCCCAGTTAAGCTAGATGTAAGTAAGAATGTACCGGGGGGGGGGGGGGGGGGGGGGCGGGGGTGGTGCTCTAACCAACACCAGGCTCCGCTAAGGGAGGGAGAGAAATACCTGCACTTTATTTAGGATCTTACGCTTCCTCCCGGTTTGGGATTGTGGCATTCAAATTCTTTTTCTCTAGGGTGAGCCAAGAGGAAGTCAAAAAGTGGGCTGAATCACTGGAAAGCCTGATCAGCCATGAATGTAAGTCTGACCACCCCCTCTGGGTTGGGGTCACCCGCCCTGGATACACGCATCTCACACCACACAAGGCAGGCTTAGGGGAGTCAGCCTGTTAGGCGTGTGACCCCCGAGCTTGTCATCTGCAGTGGGTGGTTCATGCAGAAACCGTGGGGAAAGGGTAGAGGAAAACTCCAAATATTGAGATTTCTTGCGGAATCAACTTCAGTTTCTCTTTCCCAAACCCACTGAAGCAGGGTGTACGGCTGGGATCCAATAGAAACAGACAGATTAGGGTTACCTGGCCCCAGGTGACCCCACAAAAGTGGGGTGTGGGGTGGCTCGAACCTGCCCTGTTCCCTCCAGTGCCTGGGCTCTGTCACCAGCATGGTGACAGCTCAGCTCTCTCCGGTCGCAGGCGGGCTGGTGGCGTTCAGGGCGTTCCTCCGGTCGGAGCACAGCGAGGAGAACGTAGAGTTCTGGCTCCGCTGTGAGGAGTACAAGCGAACCAGGTCGCCCTCAAAGCTGCGCCCCAAGGCCATGAAGATCTACGAGGAGTTCATCTCGGTCCAGGCGACCCAGGAGGTGGGTGCTCGCAGGAGTCTGGTGGCAGGACGTTCCCTGGGGGTGGCATTTGGTCCTCGGCCCTGCAGGCCGCTGACTCACAGAAAGGAGCCGTGCACCCACTATTATCAGCTTGACATCCACGCAGGTCGACTGAGAAAGGCCTTTGTCAGCAGACCGCCCGGGGTTCTGCTGGATCTCCCCAGCACGTGGGAGAGAGGAGACCCGCCCTGTCCACACGTGCAGGAGCCCAGGTCTGCTCCCCGCCCTCCCAGCGCCGTGCTGACTGCCCCTCCGCCCTCAGGTCAACCTGGACTCCGGCACCAGGGAGCAGACCCGCCAGAACCTGCTGGCGCCCACCGCCACCTGCTTTGACGAGGCCCAGAGGAAGATCTTCCACCTGATGGAGAAGGACTCCTACCGCCGCTTCCTCAAGTCTCGCTTCTACCTCGCGCTGGCCGACCCGTCTGGCGGTGCGTCTGAGAAGCAGCAAGGAGCCAAGCGCCCGGCGGACGGCCCCTCTCTGGCCCCCGGGTGCGCCTAACCTCGCGGGTGGGGCTGCAAGGCCGGACTGCACCGGGGGCCGCGGCACGGGCTGGTCTGTGGGCAGTGGGTGTCCGCACCGCAGCCGGGTGCCCGCACCGCAGCCTGGTGCCCGCACTGCCTCCCGTGCCGATCACTAGATGTAGTGTCTGTTCCGCGCTCCTCCCCGTCGTCTCCCGCATTTTCTTAGAGGCCCTGCGAGCGAGTGGAGAGGTGGTGGCAGCTCTCTCTGCTCAGCCGTTTGGCCTCAGGGTGGCCGGGGGGTGAGTCCAATTCATGTGACATCCACAGGCTCCAGGGATTCTGTGAGCCAGGACTTCCTCCATAGCTAGGTGTTTAGATGAGTTTGATCTATTGTGTGTTCATGTATGTGTACATGTGTGTGCATGTGTGTGCATGCACAGACACACACGTTCCTGTAGGATGGACGGAGAGGGCCAGGCGCTCATCACTAGTGCGAGGTGCTGTGCGCCTCGGCTCTAAACCAGCCCTGGGAAGCGATTGGAAAAGGGAGCTCATCTCTGTGAACCGAAGAGCCCCGGGCGTGGCTCCTGAGCGGCGTCCTGCTCACTGCGCCGAGTGGGGGGCGGGGGGCGGCTGTTCCTTGGCGCCGGGACCGAATGAGGCGCAGGATGAAAAGGGTTGTCATGGTCGGAACTGCTGCAACTTCAAGGCGCAGGAACTACTTGAGATTTCTGTTATTTATGATGTTTTGTACGATGCTTTCACTGTCCCGCGTATCCACCGAGGTGCAGGGCCACCGAGCAGGTCATGCGTGGCCAGGAAGCCCTGTCCTCATCCTCCTGAGGCCACGCCTGTGAGCACCCAGGGGCCCCCTCCTGCCCGTCACACGCGTGAGCACCGTGTGCTCTGAAGCCACGGGCTCAACATGCAGCGCCACGGTGGTGCCCGAGACGCCGTTGTATTAAAGATGCATGTCTCCGTCGGACCCTCCTGGTCTCTGGCAGTTTCACTTGCGTGTCCCGGGTCCCCCATAGTGTCCCGTGTTGCACACACTTCACAGTTTCTCTAGGGCCCAAGTGTGTGACAGACCGTCCGGGGGTGAGGTGGTGCCGGACCGGCGGACCGTCCGGGGGTGAGGTGGTGCCGGACTGGCGGACCGTCGGGGGGTCAGGTGGTGCCGGACTGGCGGAAGCCGCCTCCCAGGCAGGTTTGAGGGCCGCGGAGCGAGAAGTGAATATCAGGTGACCATTCCCAGTGGGCTTTTCAATCGCGTGTGGTTTTATTTTGTCAGCATTTCACGCAGAGCACCTGGTCGTGCCCTGTAGGCCAGCGCCCCGCTGTGCCTGCCCATGTGCCCTGGGTGGGTGCTGCCCAGGAAACATGCATCTGTTTTTGTTTTTTATGTTTTTACTGATTTCAGAGAGGAAAGAAGAGAGAGAGGGGAACATCGATGATGAGAGAGAATGATCGGTAGGCTGCCTCTGGCACGTCCTCTACTGAGGATCAAGCTGGCAACCGGGCATGCGGCCTGACCAGGAATGGAACCAGGGACCTCCTGGTTCCTAGGTCCACACTGAGCCACGCTGCCGGCAACACGCGCATCTTACTAACAAGGGTAGGCACGCCCTGCACTCGAGCTACATGCCTGTGCACATCGGTGACTGCGGGCCAGGAGGAGCGAGGGCTAGGGCTGCTGGAGAGGCTGGTGCACCCCTCTGTGGGCAGCAGGGGAGAAGCAGGACATGAATAGTGTGTGCTCCTCGGTTACTGCCACCTCTGCTACCTTCAGCCACACAGCCAGGGCCATCATGATTCCAGAGACCACGATGCTCAGCGGGTTTGCAGGGTGGAGTTCACCTCTAGTCCTGCCCTGGGGAGGGCAGGGGGCAGCAGGCGGGGGAGGAGGCAGAGGGCTGCAGAGCCCCAGGGGCGAATCCCTGATGCACGGAATGTTTGCCTTCACGGTCCCGGGTCCCACGTTTGTCACCACAAGCCCTGCTTCCTGAATTCTTGCTTCTCACCATGAGAGTCACACGTGGGAGGCGTCAGGTGCGCAGGGTCTGAAACTGGTTAGTAACAGACCCTTTCACGGATCTGATAAAGCTCTGGACCTTCTCCGGAGAAAAAGACACAAATAAACCCAAGTCTCCTAGACTTGAGAGGAAACGTTTACAGTCCCAGCTCAGCACAGGTGAGTGCCGGTCCCCTCCCCCAGGACAAGGCACCACGTGCTCCGCTCGCTGGCCGCCGGGGGCAGACACCGTCTCCGGTCTTATAGGTCGCGCAGAGCCCTCCGCCGGCCCATCCTCCTTCCTCTTGGTGTTTGGCCACAAAATAAGTAACAAATACGTGCTGATGCTCCTCCTGAAGGCGACCAAGGGCACATTTAAACACTTTATTGTTGAAAGTATTGAAGACGCCTCCTTTCCTCCTAGTGACCCCTCCAGCCCACCCCCGGCCTCCACCCCACTGTTGTCTGTGTTTGTGGGCTGTGCATCTGTGCATACAAGGTCTTTGGTTCATCTCTCCCCACGTACCCCTCCCCCCCCCCCCCCCCCGCCCTTCCCTCTGAGATTCCACAGTCTGTTCAATGCTTCTATGTCTCTGGATCTACTTTGTCCATCAGTTTATTTTGTTCATTACATTCCACATATGGGGGAGATCATGTGATACTTGTCCTTCTCTGACTGGCTTATTCTGCTTAGCACAATACTCTCCAGGTCCCTCCATGCTGTCTCAAAGGGAAAGAGACCCTTCTTTTTAACAGCTGCATGGTATTCCCTGGTGTAGATGTACCACAGCCTTTCGTCCACTCGTCTAGAAAAACAATGCTGCCCGCTATGTGCAGATGGTGGCCAGGCATAAATAACGCCTTCCATTGTTATAAGTGTCATCAGTAACACATTTAATTCCCGCACTAGCCCTAAGCTGCAGAAGCCGGTCGCGGGTAATGCTTCTGCGAAGCGAGAGCTCTCCTATGTGTACAGGAGGAGGGAGGCACGGAGGAGGGAGGGCCTGGTCACAGTTGCTGAGTTGGGATCTGAACGAAGACGGTGAGCTCACCTAAAACCACAGGCGGGTGGACGAGGGCAGGCCTCTGCAGACCCATGTGGTCAGGGTGGAGCCCAACGCCTTGGCCAGCTCGCCCTTCTCCTTTTGGGGCAGCTGTGGAGACCCCGGTCCAGGCTGTGCAGCCACAAAGGACCTCTGGACCCTCCGGAGAAGCAAGTGAACGAGAGATGAAGGATGGTGAGCGAAGGCAGGTGTCTGGTCCGTGTCTGTGGGGCTGCTTGTCGGCCTCATGGCCGCACGCACGCACTCTGAGAACTGCACTCGCCATGCACTCCCCACCCCGGGCTCTGCCGCCTGGGGAGGGGGCTGATGAGAGAGCATAACAGCAGTTTGCAAACAAAAACTGGACTTCGGGGAACGCGCCTCCCCAAAGCACCCCAGGCTGTTCTGGCCACTGCAGGTTAACAGAGCTTCGATTTTTAAAGTTGGAAATGAGATGATAGAGGAGAAAATAGAAAAAAAAAGAAAAAAAAGGACGTCCTACAAAATAGTCATGAAGATGTCAAGTCCAGCGCAGGGAATAGAGTCAATAATATCGTAATAAGTAGGGATGGTGCCAGGTGGGCGCTGGAAATATCCCAGGGAGACCACTCTGTAAGGGACATGATTGTCTAACTACAGGGCTGTGCACCTGAAACTAATACAAAGTGTTAGTGATGGGAACTGTACTTGAAAAAAAAGAACCACCTCCACGGGAAAGCCCCGCATCCGTCAGCCACAGTCAGACTGAGGGGCAAAATGTCATCAGAGCAACACCGGCAGATACACGCTCGCATGACCAGCCGAACCCAAACAGTCTGAAACGACATGACTCCACTCACTCGATTCAGAGGTGATTCAAAGCAGGTGTTTGCTGGGGCCATTAACCTACATGACGACCAACAAAATCGCTGCTGATCATTCTCGCCGCTGTTTCAGTGCCCGTCGCTCTGGTTCCCCGGCATCTGGACGTCACTCACCAGTGTGGCGGGAAAGGAGGGGCCGTTGCTCCTTCATGGGGCGACGCTGAGTGAGGGGGCTCGGGAGGGCTCACTGGGCACAGAGGCTAACTCTTCGGACGTGTCATGCCAAGGGGCAACGCAGGAGCTGGGTGGTGCCGGCTGCATCCCAGGCTTGTCCGCGGAGGTGAAAAGCTTGAAGAGGGAACTGGGCTTCCAAGGAAACCAGAACTTAATGGTGGCGTCTGACGTTTACGCTCACTGATTGCCAAGCCTCCGCTGAGCGCTCTACATGACTTTATTTAACTCTTAGAACAAAATCGGAACCAAATGCCTTAGTATCTGTCCACGGTGGGCGGGGAAGGTGGGATAGGAAAGCTCAGAAATGTACCCAAGGTCACCAGCGAAAGGCGCGCAGAGCAGTCAGACACGCCACCCGCGGTCTCACCAAGGAGCAGGAGAAGGAGGACGAGGAGGGGGACGGGCTGCCAGGGGAGAGGAACAGGGAGAAAAAGAGGGGGGGTGGTCAAGAGGTGGCAAGAGCAGAGGAGGGCAAGGAAGGGAGAGGGAAGGGTGGAGGCCGGAACATGGAAGGGAGAAGGAAGGAGCATGAAGATGCAGCTGTGAGGAAGGACGGAGGCCCGGCTCCCTGGTCTGGACGGGCCCCTCCCCGCGTCCTGCGGCCTCGGTTCCCTCTGTCTCTCCTGAGCTGGGGCAGGGGCGGTCCCTTGGGGACTCGTGACAGGGGGCTGGCAGCAAGGGTAAACGCTGGGCCAGGCTCCTCTGCAGAATCATCTTCCATCTCCTTTTCTCCCTGGGTCTGAGTTTGCCAGATCCGAACCATTCTCCAGAGCAAGTCCTTTTGTAAAGTTGTTTTTAATGCCGGAGGGAAGACGACAAAAATAGCCCAGCTCTTCTTTGGTCCCAGGCATCACTGTGGTGGGGGACAGTCATCGGCCACTCGGAGTCACACAGGGACAGGACCCCGGCTCGGGGACACGGGGTCCCGGCCGCGTTGCTCCCGCCTCTCCTGCGGGAAGGACCCAGGCGGTGACCGCAGGGCCTGGGTGAAAGGGGACTGTCCCACAGGAGTCTGGTCAAGGCAGCAGCTTGTGCAGATGAGCAGAGCTCGGCCGTGGGAAGGGGTGAGCGGTGACCTTCAGGGTTGACTGGGGACGTTGCTTCTGGAGAAAGTAAAACAAGAGCTTTGTTGATGTCCTTTATGAGTGTTATCTGCCAGACCCCAGCTTCCTCCTGGCCTTCTGGCCTCTGCTGTCTTCTCAGGACAGCGCACCCGCGACAAGGAGGTGGCCGCGAGGGCAGCGGCGCACGACAGGAAGCCGTTCCAGTTGTGTCAGAGCAGAGACAAGGCGCCCGGCTTCCTGCCACCTCTGTGCCCAGAGCTGATCCTCCGCGTAGGACTCGGGTGCTTGCTGCCCGCCCTTCAGTTTCAGGAAGAAACTGTCCGGCCAGTTTGCAAATCCCAGGTTTGAGTCTCTTCGGGTCCCATCTCAGGAGCCTGAGCTGACCTAGTCCCTCCGATGGGGCCTCCACATGCGCAGTGGTGCCTGGACTCCTGGGGGCGCCTCTGCAAGCCCCTCCCGCTCCCCCTGCCTGCACACGGCCGGCCCTGGGTAGTGGCCCTGCTTATTGCCCGGGCCTGACTTCTGGCCACTCAGCCTCCGGACTGGGACCCTCTAATTCCCTCCAATAACAGCCTTGCACTCAAAGGTGCACATTTGACCCCTCCCTCTGCTACTGGACATGGCCTGCGCCAGGCTGGAGACCGGGGTTCTGGGTCTGGTGCTGAGCGCCCAGCAGCGTCTGGCCTCACCCTCCACGTCCTCCTGCCATGCAGCTCTGGGGCGACTGCCTCTGTGTCACCCGCTCCATCTCCCTTCACGGGCTGATCCGCTGGCGCTGGAGACCTACCGCGTGGGGAGCCTCCCCGCGCCGGGCATGGTTCAGA